ACCGGATACATCCGAAAATCATCCACGTATCTAATTAGATAATAATGAAATTACTTGTTCGGTGCTTACCTTCAAATGGTCTATGCCAGTTTTCGCTGTACAAGTCCACCGTTCTATATTATTTATCAGTTTTTTGTGAAACTAAATTTAAAATCATACAAAATGTTTGGGGTTTTACCTTTTTCGCTTGTCATTTCTTTAGTTACTTCCATTTAACACAAATTAAATTGAAAGTAAACACCGCGCAATTACCGCTTTTTAGACTACTTTAATCTACAAAGACAATAACATTAAAATGCATACACACAATTTTTCTTATACAACAGCTGATTCAATTTCGCTAATAAAATAATATGTATTGTCTAACATTACCGCGAAACGGGCAATTCCGTGGTATATATTCTATCGATTCAGCAGCCGTACATTCAGTGTAACTACAAAGTACAAACAGTGCCATCCGTTATAACGCAATTTCGCAATCATGTACCGAATAATTTTTATGTTTCTCGCTATGACCAGCGTTCGGTCCGACAACACTAGTTTAAATTCCATATCGACAATTACAATACAGTACAACGACAACTACTACGACAACTACAACAGTTACTTGGAAGTACGCGACTCATTTTTAAGCTATGGAAGATGGGCCGATAGCAGCTGCAATGAGGTGCCGTCTCCAACTGGTTTGCAAATCGCAATAGATAATCCGGTGACCATTCGAGTGTGTGGCCGTACAAATTCGCCGACGGGTGTCGATGGTCATTTATTCCTGAGGAAGCAAGGCGAGACGGAGAATAATTGGAAGTTGACGTTTTCTATGTCGTGGATGGAGACGAACAGGTTTCTGTTGGCCTCTCTTAAAAAAGATCCGGTTGTATCATGTATGGTACCGGATTGGTCAGAATCGGAAAACGGGTTACACCGTTCGTTTAATATATCCATTAGCTGTAATAGAGTTGTAAAAAATGCAACGTTACCGTAATCGCATTGTATTAATGTAGTCTTGGTGAATACTTTGTGTAATAAGGAAATGTATTTTTTGACAATATTGCATTTTTTAGTGTTTACGTTTTGTAATAAAAATAATAATTTCAAAGCAAAATATATATTTTTTAAAACATTCTATACTAGAAATACCTTTTCTTAGTTTAAACTATATGCAAATTGGTTTTGCTGGAAATGTTAAATTCGACATATTCTGTTAACATTTAATATTTTGAAACCAAAAATGTTTAAAATAAGTTTTTATACTCGTCTGTTCAAAAGTTATGGCTATTTAGAGTAAAGCTATTAAAGTAAAATTAGTGCACTATTAAGAAGCAAATATAGGTGTATTAAAACAAATATTTTAGTTGTATCTTGAAAAAGTGTAATATGTTATCTAAACTAGTATTTTGAAGAAAACAAATGTACTACAAAATTGAATTAACTGCCTAAATTTTACCATAAACATCTGAATTGTTAATATTTTTAGAGAAATATTCTTCAATATTGAATATATAAATTTATGTCTTTAAAAAATTGTAAAAAAAATTGTTGGGATGTATAAGTTTCCCCATAGAACTCATATTCGTCGGTTTGCAGTTGTCGATATTTGTACAAAACATCTACAGAAAAAGTTTCAAAAAAAAGTTGCTTATCATAGGCAGTGTGTGTGTGTATAAGTCAGATTTACGAAAAAAGCGCTACTTAAGCCACTTAAAAATCTTATAAATATTAAATATTAATACAACATAAAACTGTGTACGTATGTAAAATGTTCTGATGAGGATTTAAAAAAAAAATTCATAGTTTTGTAAATTGCTACATCTCCAAAATGAAGTTTTATTTAACGTTTCATCAAAACAAATTTTAATTAAGCACACCGCTTTTTATTGTAAGAAAAGGTTTTTTTTAGTATAGAATGTTTAAAAAAATATATATTTTGTTTTGAAGTTATTATTTTTATTACAAAACGTAATCACTAAAGAATGCAATATTGCCAAAAAATACATTTCCTTATTACACAAAGTATTCACTAAGACTACACTAATACAATGCGATTACGGTAACGATGCATTTTTTACAACTCTATTACAGCTAATAGATATATTAAACGAACGGTGTAACCCGTTTTCCGATTCTGACCAATCCGGTACCATACATGATACAACCGGATCTTTTTTAAGAGAGGCCAACAGAAACCTGTTCGTCTCCATCCACGACATAGAAAACGTCAACTTCCAAGTATTCTCCGTCTCGCCTTGCTCCCTCAGGAATAAATGAATAATCGACACCCGTCGGCGAATTTGTACGGCCACACGCGCGAATGGTCACCGGATTATCTATTGAGATTTTCAATTCAGGCGTTCCAGTCTATTTGTCTCCGCATCGTAACCAAAGCCCCATGGTACGTCACCAACAACTCCCTTCACGAAGACCTCAAAATAGCAACAGTCAAAAAGACTGCATCTATTTACCACCAAAGACTACATTGCAAAATGCACTGCCATCCAAACCGACTTTTCACTCAGCTACACTCAAAAACTCTTCCGGGCAATCCAAACCGTCGCCTCAAACGAAACTGGTCAAGAGACCTACTTAACGTAAATTAACCTAATTTAAAATTTCAGGTTAGGTTAGGTTTTTGTACAGGTGTGGCTTTACTGTGAGCCTCCTCCTCACTGCCCTGTCATTGTCTCTTTTTGTTTCTCATCGCATAATTACTTATTGTACATATATCTGTATAGATTGTGAATTTTCTAATAAACGTCCTTAAAAAAAAAAAAAAAAATGATTACCATGAAAATATTATATAAATAAAAAAAAAAAGATGTTTTATATTCTTATCAAAATTAATTAGTTAACTAACTAATAAAAACAATAATACGCGCGACAATATTCTACTCGTAACAGAACGGTCGTTTACGGGAGAGTGCACCCGACATAGTAGTTTGGGCGGCCTTAAACAATAAGCATGATTGAAATTATATGAACTATGCTACACCTGTAAAGCCGCCCAGTTAAGAAAATAATAAATTTTTATGAACTTTAATTTGCATTTTGCACACAGAATAAATCAGAATGGTCGCTGATAGGACAATACGCGAGACTACGGTAATTTGAGTTGAATTGGCCGCATGGCAAAAACAATTAAAACAATAACGGTTTTAATTTATTATAAATTTAGTAACTGCACACTATTGTTTATCACGGCCGATCTAAAAATAACGTGAATTGTGTAGTTAGAACTACACAATTTGTGTATACGACGGCTGACCGCATTTGTATGTTTATCACACTATAATCACTTTATTTGGTGAATCTATCTTTACACTTAAGCATTTGACGGAAGAGTAAATTTCTACATTTTTTATTGTAAAAATAACATAGTCGTTTTCTCAAATTTTTTTTTTGTATAAATTTATATGTTAAATATGAATGCAATGTCGATGTTATAATTTATCGGTGACATTTTCTACAACCAACATCGACGGTTTTCCATTAGGTAAAGGAAAATTGGCAGTTTGAGCTACATATTTTTAGAAGTTGCTGCAAATCGAGTTTTAACGGTTTTTGATAAAATAACGTAAACAGTTTTGAAAAAATTGTTTGCCATTTTTAGGCTAGACAAATTGACTCGATCATTTAGTTTAATTTCATTTGGCGTAACATAATTCATTGGTTTCTGGACCGAGTAATCAGAAAAAATATTTTTAGTATATGGCCAGATAATATTTACTATCCATTATTATTTAATATTTTTTAAGCGTGACTTGTGAAACGAGTATAACGGGTCTTGTTTATGTTATTCCTTATTTTATTTTAAATTAAATAATAATTATAGAACGTGTATTAAAATCTTGATGTGTGAAAAGATACTTGAAAATAAAAAATTATAAAAACAGTTTTCAATTATAATATGGTTTATGTGTAGCTATAGCTTCAAATTCTTTAACGTAATTAATAAAATCAAGTTGTATATTATTTAAAATATTGAATAAAAATAAGTTAGAGGTTAAACATTAATTGCTTTAAGCCTTAAGCAATAAATGAATTGAATTATCCAACAGTACATAGCCCTGCTGTTCATTTTAATATAATTGATTGTACTTACTACAGCGGTTAGTCGGTCGTTATTACCCATATAACTCTAATAGAAATTTAGTGAAAAAAACGCTATTAGATTCACGTATAAATGTTTTTATTAAAATATAAAACTGTGTATCTAAGTAAAATGTTGAGATAAATTGTATTTTTATAAATGCTTAATTTTCAATATAAATTGCTACAAATCCGAAATCAAGTTTTTTCTTTAGCTTTTTATTGTTTAAGTGACATAAATATCAACATTTTTGTAAAAATCCGGATTACTGGATACCCATTATTACTGAGTAGGTATGTTGTATAACAGTAAATAATACAATTACCTAGTGTTTTTCAAACAAATTTCCAAATGAAAATTTAGGCAGTTAAATCAATTTTGTAGTACATTTATTTAGTTAACATATTACACTTTTTTCAAGACAAAACCAAAATTCAAAATTATTTGTTTTGAACCGTCGAGAATAAACACTTATTTTTAATATTTGTGTTTTTAAAATACTAAAAGTTAACAAAATATATCATTTCCAATATAACTAATTTGCATATAGTTTAAACCATTGAGTATACTCAATGTTTAAACTAAGAAAAGGTGTTGTTAAAACCCATTTTGAGTATAAACTGTATAAATAAAAAAAAAAAACAATTTTGCTTTCAAATTATAAATTTTACTACAATACGATTAGATTACACTAATAACTAAATATGAAATTTTTATTACACAAAATATTCACTTAGGCTACACTAATACAATGCGAATACGGTAATGTTGCACATTATATAACTTGTTTACAGCGAACAGAACTTTGAATCGACCTGACCCCTCTTTTAGGTATCACACAAGATACAACCTGATCGTCTTTAACAGATTCCACAAGAAACGTGTCTGAACCTATCCACGGCACGATAAACTTCACCTTGTAATCATTTTTCGTCTCGCCTTGCTTCCTCAGGAATATGTAACCATCCACACCAGTCGGTGAATTAGCACGGCCGCACGCTCGAATGGTCAGCGGATTATCTTTTGAGATTTTCGATCCATTTGGATCCGTGATCTCATTACAACCGCTATCGGTCCACTTTCCATAGTCTAACATTGAGTCTTTTACTTCCAAATAACTGTCGTCGTAGTTGTACTGTATCGTAAATGTCACTTTTTGGTTTTCTGCATCTAAACTTGTAATCGAAGTGGTGTTTAAAATTGTGTAGTCGGACTGCGTACCCGCTTTCGAGGCTGTTCTTATGGACCGAACGCTGGTTACAGCGAGAAACATAAAAATTAATCGGTACATGATTGCAATATTGCGTTATAAAATGTACAAGCAACGAGTCAGCAATGTTTATAATTTGTAGTTATACTGAATGCATGACTACTGAATCCACGGTATATATACCATGGAATTGCCTTTTTCGCAGTAATTAATTTTATAAATTGAAATGGACCACCAAGTATCATAAACAACTAAATATTCTGAACTTCGGACACAAAAGGGCAAATAGTACATCGTGTGATAGATAACATGTTAAGTTTATTGCTACCCTGGCCAAATTATCGTCTCTAACACAGGGTTATCAACTCGACAGCTCAGATTTGGTGCTTCACAACCAAACGTACCAAATGAATGCCTATACGATTCAACATGCTGTTGTTATTAAGCTCTTGATAGACAAGAAATTTCTTAGCGATAAACATATACATTGAATCGGCGGTTTTATAAGAAAAATGTAGTAGCTTTTGATACCGAATTTACGTTATTTTTAGCGAAAACGTTGAAACTTGCTCGATTGTTGCATATCAAAATTAAGAATCTCAGACTATTGATTTTAACATGGTTTGACCCGATTTTATTAGGATACATACTTAAAAAAAAACCTTAATACTCGGTGTGCAGCAACTTATAAAAATATGTAACTCAACCTGCTATCTTAACTTTACCTTAATGAAAAACCGTCGATACTAGATATAAAAAATATCACAAAAAAAGTTGATAAAAAAAAAAAATTTTCATGATGACATTTTTTTTATACCATTATGGGATTATCAAAAATTGCCAATTGAGTATTAATTATAAAAAAATGTGTCAACCTTTTTACATTTTTCGAATATCGGTAGAAACTATTTAATAAATGATGATGGCCGACTGCAAAATACATGTGGACACAAAGATATAGTTTTATTAGAAAACTAAACACTTCAACGTTTATAAATAATTAAGCATATTAATTTGATAAGGCCATAATGGTTTTTATACTAAGTTCATCTTTAATTTATACAATAACAGGTTACATGATAGTTTTCGGTAACATTTTATGTATCTAATATTGGCGGTTTTCCATTCAGGTAAACTGTAAAGTAATGATAGTAGGTTGAGTTACATATTTTTTAAAGTTGCTGCATATCGAGTATTAACGTTTTTTTTTATAAAAGAAAGTGAAATAGTTCTAAAAAAAAAACGCATAGTATAGTAATATATGTATCCTAACAGTTAAGGCGTCAAACTATGTAAAGTCAATAGTCTGAGATTCTAATTTTTCATACAACAATCGACCAAGTTTCTACGTTTTCGCTAAAATAATGTAAATTCGGTTGCAAGAGCTACACACTTTTTGTATTAGAGGGCTGACTAATTTGTATGTTTATCGCTGTTTTAACATGAATTCAGTGATTCGATATACATACTTTTTTCATACAACGCGGCGGTCGAGTCAATTTTTACATTTTCTAATGTAATAATAACTGTTATTTTAAAACAAATAATTTAGTTTTGTCTTGGAAAAAATGGAATTTGTTATCTAAACTAGGGTAGCAATAAACTTATTATCCATCATATTTTGTACTATTTGCGCTTTTGTGTCCGAAGTTCAGAATTATTTAGTTGCTTAAGTATGTATCCTAATAATAATCGGGTCAAACCATGTTAAAATCAATAGTCTGAGATTCTTAATTTTGATATGCAACAATCGAGCAAGTTTCAACGTTTTCGCTAAAAATAACGTAAATTCGGTATCAAAAGCTACTACATTTTTCTTATAAAACCGCCGATTCAATGTAAATGTTTATCGCTGAGAAATTTCTTGTCTATCAAAGGCCTAATAACAACGTCATGTTGAATCGTATAGGCAATCATTTGGTACGTTTGTTTGTGAAGCACCGTATCCGAGCTGTCGAGTTGATAATCCTGTGTTGAAGGCACTAATTTTGCCAGAAGGTAAATGAACTTAACACATTATCCATCATATTTTGTACTATTTGCGCTTTTTTGTCCGAAGTTCAGAATTATTTAGTTGCTTATAATACTTTGTCCGGTACGAAATACAAAATCGATTACCGCAAAACGGGCAATTCCGTGGTATAAATACGATCAATTCAGCAGTCATATATTTAGTATAACTAAAAATTACCAACAGTTCTCACTCGTTGCACGTGCAATTTATAACGCAATTTCGCAATCATGTACCGATTAATTTTTATGTTTCTCGCTGTAACCAGCGTTCGGTCCTCACTAGTAACTGAGAACGACGATACGTCGACCGACAAAATTCAGTTCGATACATGCTCCATCGTCTGCGGTCCCCTGTGTTCTACGTTATGTTCGCGTCTACCAATAAGTCTACCTACAGTTCTCTGCAAAAGTGTTTGCAAGCCACTATGCGAAGAATCGTGTCATTCGGTAAGTGGTTAATTGCAACTGCAGTTATCAGACCGTGCAGTTGCCGTTTCACCTTATTTACACGTCATGGTGAATTTATTCCGTCTTGTTTAACTTTTTTCTCAGGATCCAAAAATGGCAATTACGATAACGTACAACCATAACGAGACTTATGTGGAAGTCCGTGATTCGGATTTAGACTCGGGAAAATGGACCAAAGGTGATTGTAAAAAGACATCGTCTCCGGATGGTTTGAAAATCACAAAAGATAATCCCGTGACCATTCGAGCGTGTGGCAAGGATCTGTCGACGAAGGGTGTCAAAGGTTATTTTTACCTGGCGCTCAATAACGAGACGGAAAATGATTACAAGGTGACATTTAGTGTGCCGTGGATGATAACCGGTAAAGAAGCGTTTGATTTGGAACCCCTTAAAGTCGATGGGTCCGTAATTTGTGAGCCATACGAGGACTTCCAAGACTCACGATCGATTCCAACAACTATCCGCTGTTTTAGAGTAAGATAATGTGCAAAATTACAGTTATCGCATTGTATTTTCGGACATTAGTGTAGTCTCAGTGAATATGTTTTGTGATACAAATTGTACATATGCCTTTAGTGTAGTCTTATTGTTTTGTAATAATAAAAATTATAATTCCAAAGCAAAACATTTTTATTTTTCAAAAACATTCTATACTAGAAATAAATTGTTTCCAATTAGTAATAAACTATATTATACATATACAGAGTGATTATATTTTTATCATGACACACTCAATATCTCATAAGGCGTAATAGGAAATTAAATTTTTATTTTCATATTTTTATCGTTCTATGTATAAACTTTAATTTCTTATTAAACCCTATGAGATATTGAGTGGTTCATGAAAAACGAATGACCCTGTATAATAGCAATATTTTCTAATCTATTTGTTTTAATTTCCATACATATTTCCGATATTTCCATACAAAATTAGTAATCTCAGACTATTGATTTTTAACATTAATATGCTATTTATGTCACTTAAATATATTATTAGGTACAATAAAAAACTGTGTATCTAATTAAAATATGTTTGATGAAAATGTAAAATAAAACTCATCACCAAAAGAAAAATTTAATTTTTGAATTCGGAATTGTAACAATTTATAATCAAAACTAAGTATTTTTTCTTTAATTTTCATTAGAAAATTATATTAAGGCACGCAGCTTTATGTTGTAATAATATTTAATTTTTATAAGATTATTAAGTGCTGTTATTTCTTAAATCCGGATCTAACACACACACACTCTGCATATTATAAGAAACGGTTCCAAACTTTTTCTACAGAAGTTTTGAACAGGTATCGACAACCGCATCCCGCACCATTGTCTAGATTAGGATTGCTATCTCGCGTCCACCCTAATACTACAAATATAGTTTTAAACACACATTGTCATTGCAAGTGCCACTCTGTTATTGGAGTATGCATAAGTTATTTGTATATTTTTTTAGAAAAATGTGGTACATTGTAAGCAATGAGGTTAAAGTACTATCGGTTGTTCTGTTCAAAGAGTCTACAAATATGTACGAAACTTAAATTTCACTTTCACGTGTCGAAAAGGGCAATAGCTGTTTTCTTAGGCGTTGCTCGCCGTTTAATTTTTTCTTACAGGCAACAAAAACAAAAACGCATACTGTTGTTGTGCTGTTATCCATTCGTTGTGATAATATAAAGACTAAGAGTTCGATAAAATGTATATACCTACATGTTTTTTCTCGAAAATTAAAAACGGTTTTTTTCCTTCCAGGTGCCCCTTTAAAATATTTTCCTAAAAAACTACCTATCAGCTCCTATAATAATATTGGTGGGGAGGTGGGGGAGTCCTAGGAAACTTCAGGCCGTTTAAAAACTCTTACAGCTCCCTGAGAAATTCGTCAAAATTAAAAAAAAATTACTGAGTATAAGAAAATTGAATTAAATATTCACTGTAAATTTTGGTTCTGTGTTAGGTTAGCCGTTGTTTTTGTTTTCGAGACTCTGCTATACCGTGCAGTGTACACAATGGCCAAATGGTTTTACTAGCTCTGCTTGATAAAAAAAAAAACTAATAGCGAAATGCGATGAACTGTGTATACATAAAAAAATATGAAATACGAACGAAATTCTCAAAAGTCAATGTCAACAGATAACAATACTTTTCATAATAATATAATAATATAATAATAATGCTTTACTCGGTACTTTCTCAAATTATTTCTTTTTAAGTCATAGGGCAAAATCTTATCCACACAGAGGCCTCTCAGTCTAAGTACAATCTAAGTTGTAATGTACACGAGCACAACAATATTTTACACGTGCATTGTTCAAATATTAACATGTTTTCATGTTAAACTAAAGATATATGAAGGCTACCCGTGTACGAATTTATCGGTTTGTAAAAAAACAACAGATACTATGTAACTAGGACACATTTTACAAAAGCGATACCGAATTATCCGATTTAATATACTGTACATAATATGTGCTTCTTGATATGGTAGAATACATGAGTAACAAAAACAAATTGGAAATCATCCCGATTTTGGAGAATTTATATCTTTACAATAAGATTTAAAACTAAAATTAAAAATATACTACAAACTATGCGTCGCGCAAGTATTGAAAAATGTCTAACAGTTTTCAAAATAATTGCCGTTTTACAC